TTACGAAATAATATCACTAGTTAAATAATTTAAAAAGAAATTATTTTAAATATCCCGCCGTATTATATTTTGTGTTCTAATCGGTAATAATTTACGACATCTTGGTACCAATTATCTATATTGTTTACAACCGTTTTAAAACCCTTCTACCATCTTCAGAATGTCGAAGAAATACCTCACTGAGTTGTTCCTCAAAAAGATTCCAGTTTTAATAGAAGCATTAGAGCATTACTGTATTCTACCCAAACAAAGACCGTTTTCTAGAAAAACAATACCGTAGAAGTAGGAATAAATTTCAGCTTTTCCAAATTGTTTTTCGTCCTTTTTCCAGTTTTTAAACTTTTTTCTACCTCTACAGTTGTTTAAAATTCATTGGATGGCTGAAAAATAGTTTATTAATTTAGTTGATGTTAAAGACGTCTCATTAGAGGGTCTCAATTATCTTTCCCCCACCCCTGTCATTGTGATCAATTTAATTAAAAGTGAAACATTCAATAATAAAAAACTAAAAAACAACGGTTTGTGCTGTAGACCACTTGATAAAAATGAAAACATCGACAAGGCGGGATTAATAATAGGAAATATAATTTATTTTTGTTCTATATTCAACAAGTAAGTCCATTTACAATTTATATAATTATAGTTGTGTATAAACTGTTTATTATTCTATATTATATCGAGATATTACCGTAATTTTTCAGAATGGGAAAACATAACTAAACCATGAATGAAAAATCGGAAGAGTAGAATGTAAAAATAAAATGATTCTACCAATTCTTAACAAATAATAATAAAAGGCTTAGCGAACACGGTTCGATAACCGATTGGTGGTTGGTACTCTCTTCACAAAGTGTAACTAAAATTTTCTAGAATTATTCACCAATTTTCATTCATAAACACATAAAAAACATTTTGTTTATCCTGTTCCAGTTCTGCCAAATGTTTAATTTTTGGTTTTATTCTATTTGGAGAGCTACACTGAAATATACAATTCAACAGGGGAAAAACCCTGTTTAGATTTAAGGGATGGTTAAAATGTTTAAGTACCGTACTATATTTAAACATAGTCTCAGTTTAATTTCTCTAAAAGACCGCGAGAGCCTCGCGGGTCAGTCTTGCAACAATTTAAGCGGTCTTGGTCTTGCCCTTTTGCAAGACCAAGACCAAGGCCGATTTTGGGCAAGACTACTTGGAGACAATATTAGGAATTGAAGAAAGTGACACAGAGGAGAATGGTGCCGGATGGAGGATCCCCGTTTAGAGAACAAAGATAAAAAGAAGAAAGTGTCCGGTGATAAAGTACCTGGGTACTGTTAGTTCCTTTATTGAAGTGCGGGGTACCTGCGCCTTAAACCTCCATCAGCCATCTTTTATTGCGTTGGACCAAATAGGTTGAGGTACAGCTTCGTTCCGGATTCTTGCGATTCCTGCATTCGATAGCCAATAGTTGAGATCTGTCGTATGACCTAGACCTAATATAAATAATGGTACTAAAAAAATATGAGACAATTATTTTCAAATTAGGAAGAATAAAATTGTAAGTATATGATTTTTTTGATTGAGTTGAACTATGTTTGAACAGTATGATTCGGCCGTTTAAAGTGAAATGTGATATCTCGAGTTACGTTCTTCTCTAACGGTTGAGGGTCGGGGAATTGTAAAATCCCCTCTGCCACAGGGACGCGAACTCGTACTTTTTATTAATCTCACAACTTCGGTAACCTGGTTGCTACTCCCTGGTTGTTAACTCGCTGTGCTGTGCACAAGCGTTAGCCATGTGGCCACCCCGCCCCTAAGTAATTTGTTGTTAAGTTTGCATTATCTATTAATATTATTTATGCGATTTTTCAAGACTGGATGAAGTAGTAGCACCTGAATCATGTCCCAAACCCCTTTCAGGTACTCTATAGGGTGGGTCCTATCGGCGTTATGCGAAGGCATGATGATCGAAATCTAAAGAAATTCGAGCACTTGAAAAGAACACTTGGTGTCCAATTCGATTGTTCTTTTCTATGCTATCTCATTAAATATTTCGGGACACAATTCAAGTTCATCATCCGTATCATACCAATTTCCCTGAGGTGTATCTGTTTAGTTACCTGTATGGTTTTTATACAAAGTGTAGAAGTGTTAGTTGAAATTGATGACTGCATGGACATGATCTGAATTGGGTTTACAGATATTTATTAAACACAACCTACAAGATTAGCTTCTATTCATGTAATAATTATTATATTTGACTTTTAATTAAAAAAGCGTGCCTGTTTTATAAATAAAAATTTAAATCAATCTTTGATGTTTATTTATTCAATTAAAAATAATGATCACCCCCATTAAGTGATACTGTTTTGCATGAATAATAATGATTAAATTGTGATCAAAATAATTTTGATCAGAAAATAAAAATCACCTTTTACAGAAAAATTAAATAAAATATTTACATATATGTGTACGTTTTTTTTTAATATGAGAAGGAGCTAGTCGGGGGTGCGGTCAAATAAATACTAAATTAAAATAAAGTAATTATTTTATTTTAATTTTGCCGACGTTTCGACCCACTTTGCAGGTCGTCTTCAGGGCGTAGGATGTAGCCCTGTTGTATGTTGTTTTTTTAATGTTGTATGTTGTTGTAGCCCTGTTGTATGTTGTTTTTTAATGTTGTATATTGTTAGAATGTTATTTTTTAATATTATATTTCTGAAATCGCTTTAATTGTACACTCGATACCTATATACATTTTGTTTTGTAAGCCAGGATTTCTAATACATTTAGAATATGTTTTGTTGCTAATGATTGAGTGTGACAAGTAATTTTTTTACTATCCTTTTAATTCATGTATCAAACAAGATTATGTAGAATTGACCTTCTGGCCATGCATATCCCAATTTTCCGACTTGTTTCCTAGTGCAGTTCACTTTTTCTTCTCCTCATTTCTAGTTCTGATTCCAGATTATACTACGAACTCAAATTTCATTCTGCCGTCTAGGGTGTTTTTTTGAAACCATCCATCTCTTACAGGACCAGTGAGTTCATTATTTCTGATTTTACCACTCAACTAAATATACTTTTATTTTTGTATCATCGGATTTTTGTAGCTTAATTACGTGAAGCGATAATATAACAAAAACCAAGAGGTTGGCAGTAAGAGTGGCCCTTTTCGCTTCAGACCTTGCTCCGGTGAGCAGCATACTCCTCTCATCGGGGGCCGATGGGATCTGGTTGTTCCGGGCACCGCCCCCTTGATCATAGTGTTAGCCGCTGCTCTCTAGGCTGCGAAATAAATAAACTTAGCCCCGTTCCGCAGTTATTCTTTCATCTTTGGGTCAAGTTTCTCTTTCTCCGATACTTGAGGAAAGTTTTGGATACAGACATTTTTGCAATATATTTGTTCAACCGGTCGGAGAAGCTGCTGAATACACAAATTTAGACTTTGTGTGCAAGTGTCTTTTGTTATCACAGAATGACACTGAAAAATATGGAGATATTTCATGGCATTGATGAATTATTTCCATCTTTTTTTAAATGAAAACTACTTTAGGCACGTTTTGCACTTTTTTTTATTTAGATTTAATTAGATTGAATCGTCGGCTGGAGTCGACTAATTACAGTATTTTTACACATGGATTAAAATATCTCAGACACTAAAAATCTGACCTGCATACTGTAAGCAAGAGAATTGTTCAGCATTTCATCCTCTCTGTAATAGGCTATTATTTCAAATTGTATCATAATGCGACGCCGTGTTGGAGAGGCGAAAAGGGAAAAAAAGTGTCGAAAACTAAATTATAACCAGTTTTATTTAAGATATGCCTTAAAATATCTCAGAAACTAAAAATCGGGCCTGTATACTGTAAGCTAGAAAATCGTTCAGGATCTCATCTTCTCCTTAATGGACTATTATTAAAAATTGTATCTTAACACAGTTGTATCTTAACATCCGTGTTAGAGAGGTGAAAAGGAAAAAAATAGTGTCGGAAACCAAATGATAACGATTTTTATGGATGATATGGATTAAAATATGCCAGAAATGGGACCTGGAACGAGAGAAATGTTCAGCATTTCATCTTCTTTATAATGAGCTATTATTTATAATTTGTATTTCATATTATTAATCTCGCCTTGTTGATGTTTTTACTTCTATCGTGTGGTCTGAAGAACACACCTTAGTTTTTTGCGGCCTCTCTTGATGGAATTTTTGACTTAAGGACTATTCTTCATCATAAAAAAAACTTTCTTGTTGAGTAACATGACCGTTTGCCTTTATCTATTAGTCGTAAATTCTTGGTTTACCCCAGCTAGTACTTTTATTCATCATTATCAAATCTCTTCGTATCTGACGGAGCCAGATATCATCTTTATTTATAAATATTTATTTATTTTTTATAAATCTGAAGCCGCAAAGTGTCACGTCACACGGCCTGATATTTTTTTAGGCAACCTTATTTTATTATTTTTTTTTTTTTTTATCAAATTATCTTATGATTCAAGTAAAAATTAAATGGTTGTTCAAAATTAAATGATTTTTATTATGTCATTAAATAGACAAAATTTACCCATCTCCAGATTGAAAATGCCCCATTTCCTTGAATTTTCATTAATAAAAAAAATTGCATGTTACCATAAGCTGAAACCATTCTCAAAATTTTATACGGATGTTGATAATTTGACAAAACGAGGCCTGTACAGCGGATTAGATGAATATAGTGTCTTAAAATTCCATTTTTTCATAACACGAACTCCAATATTTAAAAATTTCCATTATTACCTATATAAGAACCCTATAACATTTTCCCCTACGTAAAGTATAGATGTTCCAAAACAAAAGTAAATTTATTGATAAAATATTAACAGAACTGTCCCTAATCCTTAGGAATCTTAGGACCTAGAAGATAAGTAAGATAGACGGAATGACCCGAATATAAAACTAGAATTTTTATAGATTAGGTCGAAACGTTTCTTCCTTAAAACAAGACGATCCTTCATCAGATTTTCGAACCCAAATGACACACTTTCTTCCCGGACTAAAAACGTCGACTGTTCGGAAATTCCAGTTCCATCGCAAACACGAGGATGTGGCATACATAACACAGTCCTGGCTCATAGCATGTCTTATTCATCGAGTTCCTTTTGTTCCAGGAAATGGTAAGGTATTCTCAAGACTTAAAATTTCAAAGGAGGATTTTTCAATGTTTACCATTTATTAGTATAATGGGTTTTTTAATGCGAGCATATAACTACTTTTTCCTATTTATGCAGTTGGTTAATCGACCACAAATTAGTTCTTATATACTGCTTAATAACAAATTTCTAGAAATAGTCTATTTTTGGATCTATCATCCAATTCTAGTTATAGTATTTTTTATACTTACCTCTTTGTTTTTGAAAACCTCACTCGACCTCTTCTTTTAGTCGTCTAGTCTTATAACAGTTTGTTACTTAGTTAATGTTGAGAGTGACGTTAGATATAGATTGGTTGCCCACTGTTCGATCTCAGGTCACTAGTCACTTTATTGCCCAACTGTTGTCTAGTATGATAGGGACCTAAGACGTATAAATCGGTATGTAACTTTAATATTCTTTACTCTTTTTATTTATTTAATTTATTGAATATTAAAGGACACATATATCTCTAGTACCTTTTTCTCGTAGCTATGGTAAATTGAATTATCCTTAATAAAAAAGAAAAGGAATAGCTTATCTATTATCCATATTTGAAAGTTCTGTACATATCCATAGAATGCATTCTATTTCTATTTTATGATTTTTTATTGAAAGTCCTATGATCGCTCATCCGTATATCATTATTCTAATAAGAACATCTTTTTTCTACTTTTCTCTTTTCGAGTGTTGGAAAGTTGAAGTTGTCCCTTTAATCCTATTTTTTTCATTATTATTTTTTCTTTCTTTTCCTAAGAATAGACTTATTCTTAAACCTAAATATTTTTTCTTCTGCGCAATTAATAAAAAATATTTTTGTTTGTTTCAATATGAACAAATAGTAATTAATTGTTTCAGCTCCATTTACCCGTAATAGGATTTTAGTTTCATAGTTTAGTTCTTTTTGTAATTACAAGAATCTATATCCCTTCTTGAATTTAGTAAGGCCATGATCAGGCACTATTGTATATCCCCCAACTCATTAAAGGATTGGGTACCCACCTTTGAAATCATTGGTGTAAAGTTCTCCTCAATCCTTGAAGAATAGATAATTTTTGTCTTAACCGGATTCGAACCTGTGTCTAGGATTAAGGTCTACAATTCCTTATTCGCTGAGCAGCTCCACTCTCCAAGGAAGTCTTGCTATTGGTAAACATCTAGTTATTCTCAATTTATTTTCAAGACTAATACTATATTCTTTTTGATATTGAACCAATGAATGTACTAGCCACAAAGTTATCTGTTATAAATTAATGTTACTCAATTCATCATATTTGAGCCTTTCAGTTGACAGAACTCCAATTTCAACGTTTTTGATTATTAATTTTTGTGATATTTTTAATGGGAAAATTTATACTTTTATTAGCAGTTCTATATTTCAACACTGCAATCGCCTACTCTGGAATCAACTTACTCACTGTGTGTATAGATGTTATAAATTTTTCCAAATAGAAATACCACTAAAATGACTTTACTCAAAAATGTTGAAATCGGAGTCAGTCATTCTGTCAACTGAAAGCCTCCTTTGTCATGGGAATAATAATAGATATAATTTGAACATCATAGAATTAATAAAAAAAAAAAAAAACTTCCGTCATATATACACTTGCTTTTAAAACTTTTGCTTAAATTTCAGTTGGTAGTACAAAGACATTGCTTTAGCTCCAAACAATGTATTATCAAAGAACGAATGCATTAAACATTAATATTTCTCGTTTATGAATTAAAATTGTTCAAGATCTCATATTTTTGCTCTGAATAATAAAATGTTCAATCTGATAATCATAGAGTCGATTAAATAAAAAAGAAAAGTTCTTTCTTTATTTATATATAACCCATCTCATTTTCCTTTCGAAACTTTTTCTTAAATATTATAAGAAGTAAAATCAAGACAACATATATTTGATAGAATGATGTTCTCAAATATTTTTCTTGAATCCTTACATAACCTTTATGCAAAGCTTAAACACCCACAGGTTGTGAGTTCGATGAAGATAAAACAAATGTTTTTATATGCAAATGTATCGGTGAGTATGAAAAGGATTTGAAGATAAAGTAAAAATGAGAAAGGCAGATGTATTTTCTAAATTTGTAAAAGTAGCAGAATTTTAAAAAGAGGTTCTATAAGAACTCGAAGTTTATTAAACCGGAATAGTTTCAGGAGAAAGCATTCCTCTCACTTCTGTGACATTGAATCATGGCCGTGATTTTTGAAGGTTTTTTTTTTGGTTGGACCAAGACTCCCACTGAAGTCCTATACTACCCCTATTGTTATATTAAAATATAATGGAGATATATATGTACATTATTATTATTTATTTATTTTAAAAAATCTATTTTGGATTCTTCAGATATTTTAAGTTCTACATCTCATTCCACATACCGATTCCGTATGTTTTATGTCAACTATCTCATCATGTTATTATATTATTATGATTACCATTTAATTATGTTTTAAAATTAGATGCCGCTCAATAGAAAGAGTGTTTCCTCTTGCTTTTTTTTTTAATTTTAAAACGCCTCCAGAATTAAATATCAATTTTGAAATATTGAATTTCAGTAAAATTCCAGTACGTCTAATAGAGCAGATGTTTTGACGGTGAAAACGCACTCTGCTAAACGAAGCGAGAAGCGACCATGACCTACAACCAGTTTTCTTGGGTTGTTTTTCCGCGTTTGACTTCAGTGCATGTTGGGAAACGTGTGTATGTGTCCAACTAGATTTAGTATTATATTTCCTTATCAATATGAATATATTTACACATATTTTATATTCCATTGGAGTTACAGAAGCCATAGATATAGGTAGCTTTTTTCCCCCTTAATTTGATTATCATTAATTTAAATACTGAAGGTATGTCAATACATGATCATAAAGAAGAATTTAATTTAAGCTATTAATTGGTTATGTATAAACCACGTAGACTTGTAATATTTTTTTATTTTATCTCTTAATGGTATTTACAACTGTATTAAAGAAATACATTTAATAAATTTGAACATATCGATATAATGACGTGAAAACACTTGTTGAGAAATTATTCAATGGTAGCGCTCTAATGTCTACATTAGGAGATCACGGGGCCATCTTCTTTTCTGACGCCTAGGAGGGTTATCAGGAATTGAGGAGGAAGCAAGGTTAGAAACGAGAGAGTTGGGATGATTCTGAAGTTTATTATGGAAGGATAGGTATATGGATTGGGCCAGATCTGAAACATTAAGGTCATTATGGATGGTTTTATTTGTAACAAAGTAGGGAGCATTGAGGATTTTACGAAGGATTTTGGATTCTAAGGATTGGATACGAGAGGAATTCGATGGTTTAGTGGAGCCCCATAGCTCAACTCCGTAATTCCAAGTAGGTCTTAGTATAGACATGTATATGAATCTTTTGTAATTAATTGGAAGTTTAGAGCGTTTGTCTGTTAAGTGCTGAAGTAATCGAAACGGTCGAGCGGTTTCTTATCATTGCAGTCTGGTAAACGGGCATTAAAAATTTACTAATAGTAACTTCACGTAAACATAAGTTCAATTTAATTCAAGTTTAAAAAAAAACTCGAAATGAGTTTTATGTGATAAAAATGATTTTATATTCACAATGCAGTTTAATTACAGTGGCTCACTGTGTGGTTAGAAAGATAGAAAAAATACTTCAACTGTTACAGTAAACTAATAAAACCTATTCAATAAAATTAAAATTTTCATCTGTGATTATTTGAAAAAATAATAAACAAAAACTCAATAGTTTTATCTCACATTTTGGAGCCGCGGTGGTGAGTTAAGGCGTCTGCTAAATTTTTTAAGTGTTCAAATCTCGTTGGCAGGAATTATAATGACACACAAAATAAATTAAAGTAATTAAGTGCAGGCCGTACTCGACTTCTTAGACCACTACGGCGCGGGTTCGATTCCCGCGTGGGTGACGGTAACGTCTTCACTCAGATATTCATAGGGAGGTGAGCGACCCCCATGTCTTAAACCATAGCCAACATCTCCTGGTCCTCCAGGTTGGAGCTTGGGTATTGAGCTTATAATTCCTTATCCCATAAAAAACTGTGTGGAAGATTTCTGCAAAAGATTGCCCAACCATCCTGCAGGAAAGTTATTGATGAAAAGGGAATGAAATGTGATCGCGTCCGGTTAGTAAACCAGGTATCTCTAAGAAGAGGGAAAAAAAGATCACTACTGTCGTCTACAGCCCGATTTTTTAGTACCAGATTAAATAGACAAAGTTTGCCGATCTCCAGATTGAAAATGCCCCAATTCCATGAGTTTTCGTAAATAAAATATTTGTAGGTTACGATGAGATGGAGCTATTTACCAAATTCCAGCGGATGTTAACAATTAGATAAAAAGGGGTCTGTAAGGGGAGGGGACTCCATCTTTTAATAATATCTGAAACTTTAATCTTGACATTGCAGTTCGGAAAGAATAATCCTTTGCTATTCCAGTTGGTGAAATAAATAGAGGCGTAATACATTAATGTTTAATTGGAATACTCTTTTAATTTAAATAACAAACAATACGAAAACCAAGATTGGAAAATATATTGTCATGCTTACCATGTACTATGCAATATATTGTTGTGCGAAAATCTACCAATAAAGAAATCACATAAATCTACATATTGACTTTTTGTAAAATAAAATAGAAAAAACTGTATTCTGGGACTAGGTTTTTAAAATATTATTATACATTACTTGCCAAAAATAATAATTAAGGTGCTAACAGTAGATATAAAAAATTAAATTAAAACTTAAATATTAAATCCATTATTCTCTCTAAAGCAACTGTTCCTTTTTACATTAAAATTTTAAGATTAGAGAGCGCCATTTTGGGGTGTGAGAAGAAAACGGAAAAGGAAGGATTTGAATGAAGAAAGAAAAGGAGCTTAAACATCATAACAAAATAAAAATAATGATGTAGAAATGGTTGGCCGTGGTATGATATGAGAAGTAGTTGGTCGGGTTCCGCTCAAATAAATAAATTTTTAAAATAGTATTTGAATCGTTATATTTGCTGATTAAAGTTATAATGAACAATTAAAATAATATTTTAAAAATTTAGTATTTATTTTACCGCATTCCCCTCCCCCACCAACACCTTCTCATGATACAAATAATGTATATATAATAATATAATATATAATACATTTATATATGTATTCGTACCAATATAGCAGTGGAGGATTCCCAGAGCCGAGTAACGACTGGAAGACAGAGGAGAGAGAAGTGCCCCTCCACTGTCCCAGTAGCCTACATCTCCAGGACTCGAGGGTTCAGTCTTAGTCCAGCAGTTACCCGAAGAAGAGTCTGCCAAGCCGATCCTGGATTATCCTTCGTCCGAACTCCGGTTCAGCCTTGTCTTCTAGGATTTACAATTGGAATATTGATTATTAAGGTGAGTGGTGGTATTTCTTTATAATACTGGGCGTGCGACTTGGAGCCATTATTCTCTTACCGGTTCTCAGGATAAACTTCTGCATTTGAGTGATACAGAAACTTAAAAAAGATCATTGAAAATATTACTGGTAGTTCATGCATACAGCAAATCGCTTTCAGCTACCGAAAGAGTTTAGAATCCTTAGTTAAACTTAACTTTGAATTTGACAATAAAACAATGGTCACAGCTTACTTGATGGGTTAAACTTGGTGTGACCTTTTCAGTCCACTTCAGGCCACTAAGTTACTTACAGAAGCTAATCAACTACACACCAAAGAGTTATCCACAGGGTATATTTCTAACCTGTAAAAATATCTTTGAGAATCCTAGGACTCATGTCCATGGCTTTATATTGTACCATGTCAAATCCTTTTAACTATGCCCTACTACAACATAATTTTAAATAAATTTGTTATACATTTTTGAATAGTTAAATTAATCTCTGAAAATATAATATTCTGCATACGATTTAAATTACAGTGTGGATTCTGCTTAAATATAATGTGAGGTCAGAGAACTTTTTTTAATATATTTTTTCAAACTCATCTATTATGTCAGCAATTGATTAAGGACTGGTTATATACAGTATCTTTATGGATAGTTGTAATTGTAAGTTGATCGCGTTGAGAATTTCAGGAAACATAGCGGATCGATTGTTCGGATTACGCATATAAGACATTGAGGAGTTAGTTGTTCTAGAATTTTTAAAACTATATTTAACAAATTGTTTGTTAAGATTACTGATTTGGTAAAGTATTTCGGCCTTATTAAGAGAAATCCTAGCGATCCTAGAGAAATCCTGTTCTATTGAACTAGGTAGATTGTTCGAAACGAAGCTAGAATGCACGATGGTCAGGCTTAAATTTATTAAAATAAGGGAAGCTTAAATAAAATTGGAAAAGCTATAAATTATAAAATCATACATCTAATAATAATTTTCAGTGTTTAAATTATTTATTTTTATTTGAGATTTTTTATTTACCGATTACAGAAATTCCACGCGATCTCAACCCTCTACCGTTGACCTCACCGGAAGTGGTCGGAGGGAAAGAAAGATTGACGTGTAAAAGCCATATCCGGTTAGGTATCGGGGACGCCGCTCAAGAAGGCACTTGTTTGGCGTTTGAGTTATGTCTCTATCGCCGGGTGTGAAATGCAATTATTCTCAGTGATTGTTCAGTAAACCCCCTCAGTAATTTTTAAATATTTAATAACTACACAAATGATCAGTGTCAGAGCTATAAGAATTGATAAATAGGTTCTTAATTTCTGTATAAATCACAACATGTTTTTAATATGAGTTATTAGATAGATAAACAACTTTATTCTGGGACAAAGTCCCTTTAGAATAACAAAATTGTAAAAAAAGAAAATACTACTTCTGGCCTAATAATTTGAAACAATAAATAAATTAAAAAAAAAACTAAACAAAAAAGTAAAGAAAACCTTAAGTGGACAAGCTAAATACAAAACAGATAAAACTATTTACAAATTATAATGGTAGAACAACATAGATATACACTTAAGGAAACGAAGAAAGAAAAAGAGACATGATAAAAATAAATTCTTCAGCTAAAAAACCTCTAAGTTTTTACTTAGAAACATGAAAGTTGCATTTGTCAATATAAACCTTATTATGTAAATGCTATATAAAAGGTAAATGCATCAAAAAAAGAAAGAGCATTATCATCAGTTATGGAAGATACATATAGGCGTTTGATTTTATTTGCAGAAAATCACAAAGAAAATATTAATGATAATTCAATATAAAAAATTAACATTATATGAACAGTTATATTTTTTAAATAATAACACCAATGTAAATAAATTACAAAAATTTTCTTTAATCACAAGCCATTTTTTTTTTTATAATCTTTTTATGTTTATATCTTGCTCTTCGTGGTTTATTCAATTAATGGAATTTATACATTTTTGCAAAATAAAATTTTTATCTAAAAGCTGAAGCAAAGAATATATATGAATGCCCCATTTTATATTTACCTTCTGTTGGGCAATTAGTCAGCTTAAAAAAAAAAAAAAACATGGCGATAAAAATAGATGACCATGGCTTATTATTTGTTAATTTTCTTTTAATTAAAGATAACTTACCTGTGTCATTTTTTGAGGAGGAAGAGTGGGGGAGGGGAGCCTCAAAGATAAATCAGTTCGTAGTCCGAAACGGTCTAGATATATCATCGTCAAGAAATTCCTATTATTGCTCTATAACTAACTACTATTATAAAACATCCCTTAAATTCGAATATCTCAAATCTAATTTAGAATTTCCCACCAAATAACCTTCACTCTTTGTCGTAAACCTATGACTTCCTGTCCTACAGTATCCTTCAACAATAGCCCTCTTATCCCTGTCGAACAAATCCGATACTTAGGACTCCACCTTGACAAACGACTCACTTGGAACCCCCATACCAGACTGAAACGACTAGAAACCGCCCGACATTTTCGACTACTGCAGCACTTACTGGACAAACGATCTAAGCTTTCAATCAATTATAAACGACTCGTATATATAACAATAATAAGACCTATTTGGACTTACGGAATTGAGCTTTGGGGTTCCACTAAACCATCGAATTCCTCTCGTATCCAATCCTTACAATCCAAAATCCTTCGGAAAATCCTCAATGCTCCTTACTTTGTCACAAATAAAATCATCCATAAAGACCTTAATGTTCCATATGTTTCCGATTTAGATACCTGTCCTTCCATAACAAACTGCAGAACCACCCGAATCCTCTCGTTTCAAACCTTACTTCCTCCTCGATCCCTGATAACCCTCCGAGGCGTCTGAAAAGAAGATGGCCTCGGGATCTTCTAATATAGAACTTTAATTTGAGTTCAACCAATGGGTAGTTTCTCTTCATGTTGTACATGTCATGTTACCAATTTCACATTTACTTATTGTATTTTTTATGTAATACAGTTGTAAATTCCATTAAAATAATTTTAAAAAAAAATTAGAATTAAACCACTATTGCTGAATTTCTCCAATAATTCATATGATGGATATTATTATACATGCACCCAAATAATTTTTGCCTGATTTTCCTATAAAATGTCCCATATCTTAATTAATCGTTAAATGTTACATTGAACATTAACCTAATACTTATAAATACCATTAAAAAAATATTACAAACAAAAATAAATTTGTATGTTGGATTTATTAAAAAATAAAAATTACTAACGAAAATAAATTTGGGTATGCGAAAAATAATTTAAATTAAATCGAATCAATAATTAAAAACAAAACAAAAAGTTGTTATTTGTTTCATTTTCTCATCTGAGACCATCATTATTTTTAATTTTAATATTAAGGAGCACTATTATGCTAAGCAGATTTTAATTTAAGTTGTTAACGGGTATTCGTGCTCAAGAGTTCGAATTGTATTTTTTTCTATTCTTTAAAACCTAAATGCGATAAGTTTAAATTGAGTTCTTTGTTCTTTTATATATATATATATAAATAAAAAAAAAAACGGTAGATTTGTATAACTTTTATTTATTTATTTATTTTATACTTACATGGCGATCGTGTGTTCAATTATTGGATTTATGTCTACATTTTTACCTGTTTTATGATTTGAAAAAAAAGAAACATCATCCCTATATTAATGTTATAGAGACAATAGAGAAAAAAAACTGATTCTGTTTTCGTTATCATTTATTTTTTACGACTTAATTATCCATGACAAGTGGTGGGAAACACTGATTTGGAAAGCTGTTGTTATCGAATATAGACATCTGAGGAAGAAAAGCATCCTTGCCGAAAGCTGAACAAGAAAAGGATGAATTCATCTTTCCTTTTGAAGGCGTGCCTAAAAGGATGATTACTGAAGATGGGTTCCCAGGAAGTTGGTGAAAGAAATTGAAGAACATTACAACTTACGTGGGTTGTGATGTGACAGCCGTTTAGCCGGATTTTTTATCCTGATCTAAGAACCTTGGAATGAATCTGTTTCCTTATATAGATAAATATTTTATTTACGTTATACATAAATACGAATTATACTTATTTTTATTTTATACATATATGCTTGTTAACATATTGTTATAGCTTGACCATAACTTCTATGTCACATCCGAAACTTTATTAATATTTTCATAACTTTAGAAAATGATAAAACAAACAAAAATCCTCAAAATTAGGTTGCTTCTGTTGCTTAGGAAAACTAGCGGATTCAAGGGGAGTGAAGCTTTTGGATTGAGGCCCCCAAAATATAAAATTATTTTTTTCATTCGTTGATCTATATTTACTTCTATGTGATCTGAGCCAAATAATTAAACAATCCCAATTTACTTTCATTTTAAATTACAAATCATGTGCTTCATTTTTTTTTTCTATTTCCTTTTCAAATTTTAGGGCAAAATATAGACTAATGTTAATTATTATTTTATCATTTGCATTTTTTTTTCAATGAACTATATTTGAACTGATGATTTTTTTTTCTCATAAACTGATTTTTTATTCATACCGTGAGTGAAACTTCCTAACTTTTCAAAATATTAGAGAATTTGAGATTCCATGATTAATAGAAAATCATATCATAATAAATAAAAATAAACATTCTAATAAAAATATGTTGAATAACAATAAATAAAAAAAATACAAAATTAAACTTATGAAATTAATAAAAATTACTACAAACTAAAATAATAATAAAGGTATGATAACAAGGGTGATGAGACCAGTGATGGACATAGCTAAGGAAATGTTTGTATTTTTTGGATTGTGACGCCTACAACTATAATTATTATAGTTATAAGTTTCTGCGTTGGACATTTAGAATCTCTAGGCTCTCCTTTTTCTATTTAGCACTTTGAAATTGAAGAGAAAAAAATCAACAGATATAGTCTCCATTAAAAAAAAAAAAAACTTTTTGCTCTAGTGATAGACACCTCGAGGTTCAATTGTTCTATTAATGGACAGGAGGTCGGTACAAGTAATAGACATACCTCAGAAAAATTCTATAATCTTTATTCAACTATAAAGATAACGATTAAGATAAAATAACATAATTTTTCAACTACTCTTACCAAACGTAAGCAAGTTAGGAAACAGTGATATCAAGAGGACTATAGAAACAACAATGATAGGCATTTTAAAATTTTCTTTGTGGAAATACAGTTGTCAATAAAGGATATTTTTTCAATGGAGAAAAAACTGAAAGCTTAAAATCAACAAGGAAGTTTATTGTTTACAATTTAAAGTCCAACTTGTCCATCACTGAGCCCTCTGTCTATAACTGGTGCGTTCACCCATGATTTCTGATTATTCTAAAATATTTAAAAGATATATTATTAATAGAACAATATATTAACTAAAACAACAATATATAAAACGAGATATTAATTCAATTTAATTATTTTTTATTTTTAAGTTATTGGCCCTCAAGGCCTTTGAATTTGTATCTCTCCAATCTATAACGCCATTGAATCAACAAATGACAAGTTAATTTGTTTCGCTGAAACCATCATAGTATTTAATCTTGAATTTTAAATAACATCGTCATATTCGTATAGAACAAGAATAACGGATAATAAGTGGTACTTCATGGGAATTTAAACATACCAACCCCCTTTGAGATTAATTTAATTATATATTAATTTTTAAAAATAATACAAAACTAGCTGACCCACAAAAAGCTGCCTTGAACTTGGCCCTGACCTTGCTATGTACTGAGGCCACCTTTCACCATCCCACCGGCTGCTTCATCAGGTCAGATCATCGTTATTGTTTATCTCCGTTCTATATAGATAAAATCGCTATATAACTCATTAAATAAATAATAATAATAATGTATTTATTATAAATAATATAATATTATATATATATATATATATATATATATATATATATATATATATATATATATATATATATATATAATAAAAAATAAAAATAATAATAATAAAAAATTAAATATTTTTTTTAAGCATATTCACTGAGAGATATTACAATCTGTCACAAATAATGACATTTGTAATATATATATATATAAAATAAAAATAATAATAAAAATTAAATAATTTTTAAAGTGTTCGGAGAGCACATTCACGTTCTAAATAAATTAAATAATAAAATAAAAATTAAATAAGTTTTTGTTTGTTTCTTTTAACATTAATTTGCT